TAGGTCACATAGTTTGTGTAATTATCATATTTAAATTAATTGCATATCATAGTGTGAGTTATATAGAATAAGTTTGAAGACAAAATAATCATTAAAATAAATTGCAATTCCGAAACATCCAAATACAATTATAAAAGATCCATCTAGTTGTGATTTTTGGGTGACTTTTCAAACACGTCCTTAAACATGGGTTATTCATACAGAAAAGGATTTATTTTCATTATTCATTATCTGGCCCACTTTCCAAGTTAGCCGTTGGCACACATATTTCTGGTGACCCATAAACAAACACGCCAAGATTTGGGCCACTTGTTAGAAGAGACTATAGAACTTGCCATGGTGTGAATCTGATGGTCAATCCAAAGAGCTGAATCATTTCATCTATAAATCATTTTAACATTGACAACTCAATTCACCCGTCTTGCCTTTGTCCATCTCCCTTGAACTCCATGAATGTGACTGTAATGTAATCCTTTTCTGCCAAAAAAAAAACACCACTAAATTTTGACAAGTATCTGATAAGGTCCCCATCCCACTCGTTTTCTGCCGTCTTTGGTAAGCCTTTAAACCTTGCAAATGTGGCAAAAAAGTAATAGCTTGATCCACTCGTGTTGTCCAGATGGATCATTGCATGTTAGAATATATGATGGATTCATAGTTTTTAATTACATGTTGTAATAGCCTGTTCCATATGGCCCTTGAGCTTCGCCACTCGAGGGTTAAGCATTGCTTCATTGTCTTAATATCGTGCTTCTGTTAATGCAATCATCTCGCCTAATGCAAACAAAACTTCATGTCACTATCAATAATACTCTCCTAATCACTGTGTTACCACTCGTACCCTTTTCCCTCTTAATTTATGTTATCTATTAACTTCATTAAAGAGATTATGCTTTTTCTAAATTATGGTTGGATTTTTTGGTAAGGGGAAAGGCTTACGTAAAGCATGTGATAAAGCTAGGAATTGAGGGGATCAGGCACCCGGTCCCAAGCATCCAATTATTGGTACATTCATCAACTTGAGAGCAGATTGTTTGCAACCAAAACCTAGACGAAGCTTCAAGGAAAATAGGCATGAAAACACCATTAGTATTTAGTTACATCCCCTCATCACATGTTAACTCCATTGAATTTAATGGCAGTGATAAAGTCAAAATCAAAAATGGGGTAAACTACATGTTTAATCCCTAAACTATTACTTTTGTCTTGTTTTGTATCTAAACTTTTGTTTTTTTCAAAATCATATAAAACGTTTACTTTTTATTTCATTTTGGTACCTCGCGGTTAAAAACTTAATGAATTGTTATACATGGCACTTTTTTATGGGTAAATTGCATCATTCATCACTCCACTATCTTCTCGCTCCTATTTTGATCACTAAAATTTAATTTTTTTCAATTTAATTACTTAACTTTCAAATTACCCTAATTTAATCACTCTAACTTTGATTTTTTTTATTTTAATTATATATTAATAAATAATAAAAAATATTGTATCACAAAAATTATTAATAAAATAAATTAGAGTGATTAAAACACAAGCAATTATATAGTTGAGTGGTTAAATTGATTTTTTAAAAATTTTAGTGTCCAAAATAGGGGTGAGAAGATAATTGAGTGATGAATGATGTAATTTACCCATAAAAATCAGTACAATAGTTTCGTTAAGTTTTCAAAAGTGGGATGCCAAAATGAAACATAAACAAAACGTTAGTATGATTTTGAAAAAATAAAATTTAGGTACCAAAACAAATAAAAATAATAATTTAAGTATTAAACGTGTAGTTTACCCTAAAAATATTGTGAAGAATCAATTATTTAAATTTAAAATTATAGATACTCATTAAATAGTTAATATGAAATTTAAAAGAGATAAAACTTAATTTAATTTAAGTTTAAATTAATTAAAATTATAAATATTATTATATAAAAAATTTTGAAGAACACAAAAACTCATATCATTTCCCACGTACCACTCCAATTTAGAGGGTTTATATCACATCACCAACAAACAATTCAAGATCATAATCCATCTTATAATAATGCATAGTGAGGACTAGGTTTAGAAGGCCCATTCACCTAACACATCAAATATTTAAATCAATCGCTTAAATGTATGATTAATTGATAAATAGGTTCCACGATTATTTAATCGTTTAAATATAATATTAAGATTTAATTAGAATTTAAATTAAGTTTTGTTGTAATTTATTAATTGAAATTTATTTAATGATTAAATTTATTTAGATAAGTATCTTTATAAAATAAAAATTATTGGTGAAGAAGTATTAAAATCTGTAAATATAAAATAGGTCTTAAATTTTAAAATTATTTTTAGATAAATATAATCTTTGTGATCTGCGTAACTTTCAAAGTTTATGTTTGTGGATATGAATTTTGTAGAGAAGTTGAAAAAGTATTTCGAGACCATTGAGTTTTGAGATAGAAATGAATTTATGTATTTGTACTCTTTGTGATTTCTATGTTTAGATTTGATTGTTGTTTATCTTATCTATGAGAAAGTTGAACCACATTAAATATTGTTTTTTTTCGTGTCTTATTCTATGTTGATCAAGCTTTGTTTTCTTTTTCACTTTTAAATTCTTAACAATTGGTATCAAAATCAAAGTTCAGTTATGAAGTTTGAAAAGAAATTTGTATTGTAGATTTTGCTAGTGATATTGGAGACATGCAAGAATAATTTTGTTAAAACAAATTTTTAGATGTATGAGAGTAATTATCAATTGATCCAGCGATATTCAACAAATATTACGTAAGAATTTGAGTTGTTGAATACTTAGGAGTGGTGCTTTAATATGTATTTAACTTATGTAAAAATTAAAGTTGTTGGAGACTTGAAGGCTAATTTTCTGCTAAAATTTTGTGTCTCGATGGAGACTGTTACATATTGGCTTAATTTCTAATTAGAAATTAAGTTAGATTTTGTTGTATTTATGGTGGTTGATTAAGTTTATTTAAGTAAGAATTCTCATGGCATAACAATTAGTGGTGATCAAGTAATTGACTCTACAAATATAAAGTATGTCTTAAACTTTAAAATTACGATAGACAATTGTTTTAGAGAAATATAATCTTTTTATGACCTTTATAACTTTTGAGGTTTATATTTATGGAGATAGTATTATAACGATATTAAAAGAGTGATTTGTGATATATCGAGTTTTGATACAAAACCAATTACATAGTGTAGAACTTTTTAATTTTACACCTTTTTAGGCTTGTTGGATGAGATAAGCTAGATGTTGAGATTAACAGTTAAAAAATGAGTAGATATTCACTGAAAAAGAAAATAAGGAGTTAATCTCAACATTTGATTTTCCCTCAACCAGCGAACCTAAAAGGGTGTAAAACTAAAAAATTTACACTAGATGTAAGTGGATCATAACCTTATATATTATTTATATTGGGATACAAGGGAACTTTATGTAGTTGTGGTCTTTGTGATCTATACGATTATAATTAACTACTCCATCATTCTTACTAAATGTGTATCTTTTGATTTTTATAAGTGTTACATTCAAAATGTTCTATTAGAAAAGTCAACAAACAACAATACACATATTTTCTTTTTTTTACCCTTGTATGTCCTACTCTTTTACACCTATAAAAATAAATCTATCAAATATATCAATCGTATTTTAGGAATTTTTTTTATTTCTCTTAATTAAATATATATTTTAAAATTATGCATACAATTAATATAAAACATAAATTATTAAACAGATAGAGTATATATTATTTTTATTATTCGTGTAAATAAATCAAATCACGTTAATTCTCCTACTTTACATGGATTATAAATTTGTTAATCCTATATCCTACATTTGTAAGGAATTTTCAATGTCGACGTGTCACGTATTTTCAATTTAATGCAATAACAGAAAAATAAATAATTAAAATAAAAAAACTCATTATTGAAAAGCCTTTATTCTTCCAGCTTCTAGTTGGCACATCGATTTCTTCTTGAATCTTGAGATTACAAGTTAGCTTGGACGCAAAATAATTCTATTCTAATGGTCTTTAAAGAAATGAGAGAGAAAAAAATTGTGTTCATACCTACGTGGCAAGCAGACAGTGACGTGTTGAAAAGCCAATTGAGACAGACACCTGTAGTTTAAAAAAAACATTGTCCCCACAGGTAAGACTTTCATTAAGCCGCTGAATTATCCAAAAAAAAAAAGACTTTCATTAAGCCACGATATTTAAAGTTGGACGCGTGTCCGATTTAAAATATTCCGATCTTTATAAACCACAAATCCCGGGACACGTCACCTCAAACTTCCGGACAAGAAAGACTACGTCAGGTGATACGGGTTTTGACCGGTGGGAGTTGCCAGGTGTTAATGGCACTATTGGTTTACGCGGTGACACGTGGAATATATGTTCGTAGGCAACTATTTTTTATCGATCAAGCTCGTAAGCATTATAGTCGATTTTTAATTTATTCGAATTTGATTTTATTTAAAAATTATGGTTTTATAATTTGAATTTAAGTGATAAAAAAATTAATTTTTAATTGATCATATGATTTAAGTGATAATAATATTTTTTCTACTATAGAGGTACTTGATGGATTTTATATCAATTCTAAATTAATTTTTATTTAATTATATGATTTATTATGGTGTTTGAGGATGACCACACATCTCGAATTTTCAAGAAAAAATATGTTGTAATTTATTGAAATATTTTTTTATTTGATTATAAGGGGGTGATTGGAAATATTTAAAAATATATTATAATAATTATATTATAATAATTTGAATGAGTCGGACCAAAACATTTTATTCTAAACTTGATCTCATCTCGATCTTAATTATATATTTTACAAATCATATTTGATTTATACTAAATTTAATTTAAAAAAATTAAATTTTTAAAATTAAACACATCAAATTTGAATATTTTAACTCATTAATTATAATCCATAGAAATGGGGCATATATATATATATATATGGAGGGCGCTTTAAATGATATGCAAAACATTCCCTTCTCCACCTCTGTTTTTGTTTTAATAATAGTAGTTGTAATAATTATAAATGAAGACTCCAAGATTTGCAGCAGATTATACTACTTACTCAGGAGATCATGAACATGGAATATCCTTTTTGCAGCATGACTGAAGTTAAAACAACCAAAAGAGAGAAGAACAAGACCAAAAGAAAATTCAGCGACGATCAAATCCGATCGTTGGAATCGATATTTGAATCCGAATCCAGGCTCGATCCACGAAAGAAGTATCAGGTGGCTAAAGACTTGGGGTTGCAGCCACGACAGGTGGCCATATGGTTCCAGAACAAGAGAGCCAGAAGGAAGTCGAAGGACCTCGAACGAGACTACGCCATCCTACAAGACAATTACAACAATCTAGCTTCCAAGTTCGAAGTCCTAAAGATAGAAAAACAAGCTTTACTGTCTCAGGTAACTCTATCTTACACTTTGGTTAAAGCAATGGAGTTTTCTTTACAAAGACGCTAATGAAGTTCCTTTTTTTTCATTAACAGTTGCAGAAGCTGAACGATTTGCTTAAGAAGCCGAAAGAGGAAAAGCAATGTTGTGGACAAGTTGATGACAAGTTGAGTTTTTCAATGGAAAGATCGGAACATGCACTCAGAGTGTTGTCAGATGATGATAGTGGCATAGTGAGAGGCTATTTTAGACTAGAAGAAGAGCCTGAACTTATAAGCATAGTGGAACCAGCTGATGGTGCTTTAACATCACCGGAAGATTGGCACAGTTTTGAATCTGATGTTCCCTTTGATCAGTCCGGCAGTGGGTATCAGTGGTGGGATTTTTGGTCTTGAACGAATGAAGTGATGAAAATAAATTATGGAGGAGAATGTATGTAAATAATCTTCATTATGTAAACAACCCAATAGGGTGTTGGGGCAAAGTAGGCAGTAGGGGACATAGGAGGGGAAAATTTGATTATGTATCAGTTAATTTAGATGAAGAAAGACTAGATTTTAGGGTCCGAGTATTAGAGTATAAGATTGAGTCAATTGTAATTAGTTAATTTGTTAATAGTTGGTTATGGATTTGGGTTATATAAACCCAATAGTTGTAAGTAGGCTTGAACTCATCTATTGCAATTTCCTTTATCTACTCTCAATATTCATCTTAACAAATCCCTAAGCACTCAACTGCTCATCACTTTTCACACACTTCAGTCACCGGCTGTTCTTCATATTTGGTCATCATGGTTGCTTTCTCACATGGTATCATTCGCCGATGATCCTGCGGCCATCTATCTTCCGCTTCGTTGATTTCATCTATTGTTACGTCAACAGTTGCTTCCTTTGCGATTGATTCATCATCGATTTTCTTCCATTCGTTATGGGTCTTGATCTGGTTGAAGTTTTATTCCAGATCTGATCGAAGGCTTGTTCATTTTCATTGGCCACTGTCTACTATAGGTTGCTTCATCACCGGTATTTTTTTTCCTCTTCTCTTGTGATTGCATTTTGCGATTCAATGGATATTGGTGGCTCAGTTCATACTAGTGCTGAAAGTTTAACAATGGTGGTGGTGTTGATCTATATTAGATTAGGTTCTATTTGAACAATAGCTTCAGTTTTTGGTCCTTCTTTGTTTGGATCTGGTTCCTAGAATATTAGAGAACAATACTTCTTTGGTTAATGGTGAATGTTGAGTTTCTGTTATTGTTGGTAGCCTGCGGTCTTGCGCCTAGCAATTGTTGAATTAAGCACTCGGTTATTGTTGGTCATTTGTAAGGTTTCCAATTAGTTGTTGATTCTATGTTGATCTTGTTGAGAATTTATCTTAGAGAAGAGGATTCATGATTTGGTGATGTTTGGTGCAAGGTTGCATTCAAAAGGTTGAATTTTTGTCGTGATAAAAAAAATTCCTAATTGGTGTTTGTGGGCTGGTTATTGAGATGCTTGATTCTTGGTGAGTATGATTGCTATTCTCGGTCGGTAAGGGAAGATTTGGATGCTGATTTTGAGCTTTAATCCTCCATTGGGGCATTTTGTAAGTCTTGAGTTGCTGATCCAAGTTCTTTCAAACTGGTCACTGGTGAATCATTGGTTTCATTGATTGCTGTTGGTTATTGATTTGGGATTTTCATTTCATGGTTTGCATTACTTGTGTGTTTGCTCAAATACTCTTTGTTTTAGTTTCTTTATGGTCTGCTGCTGCTTCTATCACAAGGTAACATGAGACTTGAAAGCTTCAAAGCCAAGTGTTCATGACAGAAAATCTCTGGGGAGGGTTAAGAGTTTAACAGCCTTGCCTTCCTTAACCAGACAAAATACGATGTTTTCTTGCCTAAGAGAGGCTTCAGATTGCACCTGGGAGTTTGTAGTTTAACCACCTTGCTTCCACCAAAAAGAAAGTCCAAATAAGTGAGAAGAACAGTTTTGATTCATGAAGTAGTTTCAAATGAAAGGATGAGAAAGACAGAATGGTGAATGAAGAGAAAGTCTATTTCTTTATCAAGAACCATCTTTTTCAATTTCTTGGTTGAGAACCAGCATTGCAACACTTTGTTTGTATCTCTTATTCAAGAATCAACTACAAAGAAGATCAAGAACTTGAAGAAGCAGGGTGAATATTAGAGTATAAGATTGAATCAATTGTAATTAGTTAATTAGTTAGATTTTGTTAATAGTTGGTTATGGATTTGGGTTATATAAACCCAATAGTTGTAAGTAGGCTTGAACTCATCTATTGCAATTTCCTTTATCTACTCTCAATATTCATCTTAACAAATCCCTAAGCACTCAACTGCTCATCACTTTTCACACACTCCAGTCACCGGTTGTTCTTCATATTTGGCCATCATGGCTGCTTTCTCACACCGAGAACTTATGAATTCACTTGATGCTGATTCTAAAATCTAACTTCAGCTTCCCTGGTAGTTACCACTTTTGGCCGGGAGATTGAATTGGCCAATGGGGTTTACAATGAAATTAGGGGCAGGTAAGGCTTAGGAGACCTTTGGCCAATTCTTCTATAGGCTGAGACAGGGACACATGTCATTTCCAATGCCCATTCAAGTATAGTTTTACTTAAAAACAACTGATATCTAAATGCAGATGTTCCTGAAATCAGGCTTTGTTTATAGCAGATAAGCTTCCTCTGTCCTTTGGAACAGTATCAGGACATAAATTATTAATATTTGATGAATTGATGGAATAATTTTATGCATCATCGATAAATTAAATAATAAAAATTGAATTTAATTTTAAATTATTTCATTGATTTATAGAATCATAGTCTGTCACTGCATTTAACACAAATCATTATAAAGATTTGTCCTTGAAAGGAATTGTCCAGACAAATGTAGCCCTTATAGGACCGGTAGAAACTACATTTGACAAAATGAAAATACAGGAAAACGACCAGTATTCTTTGGGAAAATTCATCAGAATATCGTACCATAACGTCAGTCCATGTTCGAGATGTATTGTTCTCTTCCGAGAATATTATCTCTAAAAGTCGAATATGTATCTGTACTTAAAAGTGTAATACGTATTATTATTGTACCCGGCACTTCTTACTTAGTGCGATTTTCATTTAAGTGTAAATAAATGTTCTTTCATAGCTTGGTTAGTTATCTTTGGCAGATTAAGCACTCTGTATAAGCCAAAATTCTGGGGCATTCAAGTTCAATCTACTCGTCCTGTACTATGCCATTTTGCCTGTTATTTCTCTGCTCAGGTATGGCTCAAGTTTCTCGGGATTTCACCAAAAAGAACCCCAGAAGAATTGTTTCAGCTGATAGATTATTTACTGATGTTAAAGCCAGATTTTGACTATGTACTGCAGACAATCAATAGGTGGCAGCTTGTTAGAACAATGGAAACTTCAAAGCTTGCAGCAAATGTTGAGCTGTGAAGTTATGCTGCTTTCTATTTAACTAACAACAATCTTCGTCACCTTCTCCCAGATGATGTGAATTGAAGGGACAATTATGAATCAGACTCATAGAGATGTAATAAAAGAGGCCAAAGATATTTTTTTTCTTTCATTTTTGTGTTTCTGTATGATGGACACCTTACACTATTAAGCATCAACAGGATGGTGAACTCTCAAGTCTCAACTGAATCCATGAACAAACCTCTGCACCTTTTTTGTGCTAAATCTCTTATCCTATGATTTCCATTTTAAAGTTTAATTTTTCTTCTTCTTTCAATTCACTCCCACCAGTTGTTTACTTGTCTTCCTCCCCCATTTCAGTCTTTTTGAGTTAAAAGTGTGATGATTGACCTCTCCAATGCAGTTGTAAACGAGCACCAAACTAGTTTCAGTTGCAAAATCTTACCAATTTTAGCTCTTTTCATCCTTCCACCTCTTATCCTCGTTGGTCTCTGTGTCTCCATTTTCATTCTCGTTGCGGTTCACAACGCTGCTTTCCTTCTCTCTTTCCTTTTGCTATCCGCTCAGGTCGCTTCTTTCTTAGCCTGGAATGCTGTTAACTGGAGACATCATAACAGATCTGCTTCCGCCTCCTTTCTTAACTCTTTACCTGACTCTGATCTTCTACTTGCACTTGAAGTTCAGCTCGTGAAGATCACTGGGGTACTTCCATTTCAAAAAAGTTTCAGTTTTTGTTGCCTTTCTTGTGTTGTAATGTGTGGGTTCCATTTTGTTTCTCGATATTTCTAGAGCAGCATCAAGCACTTGAGTGCAATTAGTTGTTCAATTTCTAATTGTTTTTCATCTCAACTTATGGTTTGTTCAACCTTCATGAAAAACGTGGCGTAAACTTGAACGTGTTAAGAGCCAACTGATGTGTATTTGCTGAATGTTTCGTTGATTATTTACTGTTGCCTTTTGATTTTGTCAATGTTTTTGTTCTTTTACTACGACTTGATTACAACGTGGTGAACAACGGGGAAGAGAGTAATAATTAATACTAGGGAACTTTGTATTACAAGCTCTCTCATCACTTGTATTTACAGTACAGTGGCTGAAATATAGGGACAACACATATTTGTGTTGGATAATTCTCCATTTTTACTTGTCTTAATATCTCATTTTCCATGTGACTAATTATGTTAGTAAGACGAGCTTAACGTACGCCTAGGGTGAACTTTGACACTCAAAGGATTAGCCATCTCACACGACAGCTTTAAAACCTCCGACAAGTCAACAGCATTCTGATCGGACGGTAGCCATTCGAACTCGTGCAAAAGGGTCGCCACCCAAAAGGTGACGGTGGTCAACCCCAAGTTCTTTCCGGGGCATGATCGTCTTCCCGAGCCGAATGGAGCCAGCCTGAGATCCGAACCAAGTACGGAAAACTCCATCTCACCTTGTTTAGCAACAAATCTATCGGGTATAAATTCAAGTGGATCCGCCCACTCTTGCGGGTCCCTTGAGATGGCCCACATGTTCACCATTGCCGTGGTCCCCTTCGGGACGTGGTACCCATCAACGGTTGTATCGGTGATAGCAAGACGGGCCCAGGAGAGCAATGGGCCCGGTGAATGAAGCCTTAGAACCTCCTTAATCACAGCGGCGAGATAAATCAAGTTCATTACATCAGACTCATCAACGGCTCTTGATCTACCAACAACATCGTCGAGCTCATCATGGACCATTGACTGAACATCAGGGTGAAGCACAATCCTTGCTAATATCCACTCGATCAAAACCGCCACTGTATCTATTCCTCTGAATATCATTTCCTACACAAAAGACAAATAACAGTATTTAGCACCTATAGTACGGGAAGAAATAACTTTGACACCATTACCAACAAGGTTGATAACTTACCCACAAAACGGCGATCATGTCGGAATCTGATAATTTATCAGCACCTTGGAGAGAAAGCAAGACGTCGACGAAATCTCGAGCATCTCGTTTGTTTGAGCCCTGTGTTGGGATATGATTCGACT